ACTGTTGTTATACTTTTATGTTAATTGAGTTAGATGGATTGTTCTTGATTATTTCTCCCGTTTCTTGTTCAGGACAAGGATATAAGACTCACTGTTAGGTTTTGAGGCTGTGAATTTAGTATGATTGATTTTTTTTCTCTTTGATGAACTCTGATTAATGAATTTATGTAGACCGCTTGTCTATTAGATCCAAATTAAGCTTTTTAATGTAAGTATGTATGGAATTAACATTTTCTTGATTATTTCTTCTGAGAAAGAGATAAACTCATCGATAAATTTTGCGATTGTGAGTTTATTAGCATCTTGATTCCAGAGAAAGATTGTAGCTAGCTGCTGTCTATTTATATTATTTCTTTTAATTTCTTGAAGCCGGTAGAAACGATGTGCTACTTGGAATATGGATGTTTTGTGCAGTGATGCTAGATTTGTGTACGATTTTATAGTTTATCAAACCAAGAGTAAGAGAATCTAGGTTTCTTAGTGTTTCTTCTGACTGTCTTGCTTCATTGTTCACGGATTCGTAACACTTAAACACAAATTGCTCTTTGAGAAGTGAAGCATGCCTGAAATACTCTGAACTAGAACTGGAGGTTATAAATATTTCCCAACTCCATGTTTGTGGCATTTGGCACAAAAAGACTATATATATATATATATATATATATTATATATATATATATATAATATATATATATTATAAGAAAAATGGAGCAACTGGTACCACAGTTGCTCTAAGCAACTTGGTAGTTGATGTGGCCTAATCTTGTCCCTATACCTACATTGGAGTTGGTGAAGGTGGTTGAGGCTCTATCTTCGAGGTGTGATGTAGGGGCAAGATTAGGCCACATCATTACAGTTGCTTTAAGCACTATGATACTCCATTACCCTATTTCTCATAATATATATGAGAAATATGGGTATGCTGGTACCAAGTAACAAATTTTGCTGCTGTAGTGATGTGTCACATCCTCATCCACTCATTACCCATATGAAATGTGGTCCTATATTTGAATGAGTGGAGGGATATGTGACACCTCACTACAAGCATAACTTTTTGTGCCTTGGTAGCCAAGCATACCCATATTTCTCATATATATATATATATATTATATAATATATTATATATATATATATATATATATATATATATATATATATAGAGAGAGAGAGGAGAAGAGAGAGAGAGAGAGAGAAAATTGGGTTATACTTGGGTACAAGCACAAAAAATTATGCTGTAAGTGAGGTGACATAATCCCTTCCACTCATTCAAATGGTTGTATATCCTCATGCACTCCTTAACCCATGTAAATGTGGTCTCCATTTGAATGAGTGGAGGAATTGTGCCACCTCACTACCAAGCACAAAATTTATGCTTGGCTACCAAGCATACCCATATTCTCTATATATATATATATTATATATATATATATATATATATATATATATATATATATATATATATATATATATATATATATATATATATTTATTATTTTGATGGTTGATTGGTGAAAACATTGCTAGTTCACAGAGCTGATATATGATATCTGGGTGCTTTTTGCTAGTATGTTCCAAGTGATGTAGTTTTAGAGCCTAGGACTCCTCTTATTCCCCTGACAAGAAGACATTACGCATCTCCTCGCTAGACAGGTGTTAGAGACCATCTACTATTTGGATAAATAGGAGGTGTGCAAGTAGTAGTTTGAGAGGCAAGTAGCATAATATTATTAACAAGAACAAGGACTTATAATGCCATATATAAGAGTTGATGGATAATATCATAATACATGAAGTTTTCATGTACCGGAGAATCATAGCTGTTATATTTTACCCATGAATTCTCAACTCATTTGCCAGAGCATTAATGAGCTCATAAGGTTATATATGAGAAAGATGAATGATTAAAAATAGAAACTGATGAGGGGCTTGGGGTTATTCCTGAATCAGATTGGATCTGAACACCTTGAATTGGAGAATAGATTATCTGAAGGTGTATTTTCCTAATGCAAGATAGAATGTGAAGAATGTTTGATAGCAGTTGATGTAAAAGTCATAACAGGTAGGGGCAGAATCTAATGTAATGTGGTGTTTCTTGACTACTGACACGTCCTAGTGAGACAATAATCAAAACAATGAGAACAACGCCTATCAACTTTGTGCTCAGCACTTAGCCTCAAGGGGTTGACAGTAAATTGTCTCAATTGCCTGGAGCCTTCTCTTGTTGCTGGACTTCTACAGAAACTGGGAAAATGGTTGCTCAGTGACTTGAGTAGTCATGAAATTACATAAGACTATGACTGGTCCATGACCCTGTTAATAATTATATATAGAGGCTGAGACTGATTATTACTGGTTGAAACCGGTAGTTAGTTGTGCTATTAAACCTGACCATTAATGGCTGAAACCAGTAGTTAGTTGTACCATTAAAGATCCAATGAATGAAGTATAATTGGAGTAATGAGGTGAACTTGGAGTAATATCCATAACCTTGCAATGAAGATATGTAGGATATTAATCTCTAATGTCTAGTCAAGTCTAATTGGAGATTCCCAGGGTAAGGGCCGGATTCAGATTCTGTCATTCAAAGGTTTGTGCACCATGATAATGTATAATTTTATGCTTGCTTCCACTTCACCCAAATTTGAAATTGGTCAAGCCTGGTCACTTGCTTTTGCATACTAATTACCAAATGAATTTCCTAGATTCTCATGTTCTTGTTGGCCAGCTTAGAAACTGTTGCTTTTATTGTTAATAGTTTTAAGCAGTAAATTTAATATCAAGGTTTCGCCAGTAGTAGTTGGAATTGGCTGCAGGAAAAATGGTGCCCTAAAAACATTGCGAAACCACGAAGTGAGGAATTTGTGAACGGAGTACAAGCAGCAAAATATAGAAAATCAAGCAAAAGTTGTTCCAAGTATTGGTTGATGGTCATAAGTTAGGAAGATCTCTGCTGAATCTGAAGGAAGTCACAGAAGAAGATTTGTGATAGATTTTCGTGAAAGGTGATTCACCCTTAGAGGCTTACCCTTGGATAATACTCATCTTCCTGGAGTATTCTTCTTATTCTTATTTTTATTTTTGAGTCTTCCTGGAGGAGGGGAGGGCGTTCAATTATCATCCTATCTCTACTCCAAGAATGCATTGATCGGTCTCTTTTGATGTGTTCAAACATTTTGAATGATTCTCCTATGTTATCCTCTACTTATTCGCACTTGCATTCACAAATGTATTTGCTTTTTATTTATCATTTAGCTTATGCTTCTAACCCATCTTGGTATTCTTATTTCTACTCCCATTTTCTAGATAGACTGGTTTTTTAGTTGTCAAACAATTTTTCGATGAAGACTGAAGAGTGCCTAGTTGCATAGTTCTCTTACAGAATATGCCTTCAACTTCGTGGGTATTCAATGGTAGTAGTCAAGAGTACTTCACCACTTTAGTCATCTCGCTTTAAACCTATGAAACACATCCTCATCATCTCTCCATTATAATGAGTGGCTGACCCTAAATTGTGAAATAATTATCTGTTAGCCATCAATTTGAATTGTTGCTTCTACTTTTGAGGTTATACTTCTTAGTGTAAGCTGTACACATTTCTTCTGATATTGCGGAACTTTTATTTTTGTTTCATCTTGTTAATCCGAATCTTGCAGATTCTAAAGTTCCTCTCTGCTTTTGTAATTCAAAATTATATTCTCTTTTCTTTATCAAATACAAGTTAAAATGCTAAACCATGCACTAACACTGGCTTGCAACATGAAAAAAACTGAAGCAGAGAAATATGAACTCAAACCGTCCTCAATGCAAGCTTATGTTTGTGGTCTATGAATATGTTCCCTGAACTTTTCTCATGCTACATTACTCAAATCGTTGTACAACATTTATTTCTCTTCTAAAATAGTCACATGATCTTCATTTCTATATGTACTAAGCTTTTCCTTAATCAGTGAAAAGCGTATGTATATCTCTTTTCTTTTCTGAATCTATTCATCAATCGTCTTAGTAAAGTGAATAGTGAATATCTTTCATGTAATTCTTCCTGATCCTTGAACTTTCTTTTCCTTCTAAACTGGTGTTGGGAAAACAATCAAACAGCGGTTACAGCATGTTGACAAAACTCCATTATGTTTTATGAGTGATATAACTTGGGAACTAAACAGCAATGTCGAGTTGGGTAGTATAAGTTTAAAGTTTAAACAACTGACAGTGAAAGCCTTGTCGATCATTTGGTACGTCTCTATTGATTCTATTGCTGAGCCTAGTTTTGAGTAAAAAAGCTTGGGTCACATGTTTTCTTATGCTGATCACCTTGTTGGCGTCCTTTTTATTGCCATTTGTTTGAAAAATGTATACTTCTGGATAATGTTTTTACAGTAACAAGTCTTTATGCTGGATGTTATTTGCAGCATTCGGAAGTCTCTTTTTTAATTTTCTATTCTGATCCAGCCAAGTATGTGCTGGAGGAAACCTTTATATGTCCAAGACTATGCATTGAAATCACATGCATAACTTAGTGCATTGTTTTCTAAGATGTGTATTCATTCTCCTGTTTTGGTTCAGAAAAGTGGAACAGTTAGCAGGAGAGTGTGATTCCTTGAAAGAAAGCCTGGAGAGAATTTCTGTGCGCCAACAGAGTAGGATGCAGGAAGCTAAAGAGAGGGCAGAGTTAATTGAGAGAGCGGTAAAGTGTCTTACTTTTGAATAGTAGTTTTCCTTTTTCTTGGTATCCTATTAGTGCAAGTTTACATCAGCATGGATGGGACCTGCTTTTTTGACATGATTTTTTAATGCTTGTTGGGTTTAGGAATAATTGTTGGTTGAACTCTATAATATTTTGCAGAATGGTGATGGTGAGCACGTTCTGAGTATTTTCGATGATGAAGCTCAAGCAATGAGATCAGCCCGCAATTCCCACATGATGATTGAAGAAGCTTATGCCACTGGGGTTGCTATTCTTTCCAAATATGCTGAGCAGAAGGATCATCTCAAGGCAGGCTCAATCTCCTAATCATTGTCAACATCTCATCTCAGTTACTTCTGACTAATAATTTAAGGCTAATAACCACAAGAAGTTGAACAATTTTCAATTTCCATAGTCGTTTTAAATTAGAATATGTACATTTCACAAAACTACCATGATGAATACTAGGGCATTTTGTACAGAACTATCATGACTTTTTGAATGGAGCAACTATCATGAATTATTTTCACTATAGCATCATGGTTATGTGCTTTGCATCAGATATGTTTTTGACAATTTTGTTCTCTATGCATTTTTATGTCTTCTATGTTACCCTTATAAATCTTGTGGGTTGATTAATATTAATAATTATAGTTTAGACCTTTAATCCAAGAAACTAACACCATTAACAATAATTGTCAATAATTTGTGATAGTTCTCTCTGCGTTTGAAAATTCATGCTGTCTCCTATAAAGGATGTTTTTGTTTTGCTCCAATAAAGGATGTTTTTGTTTTGTTCGAACCCCCTGAAATCATGGTAGTTTTCTGGAATTTACTCGTAGAATTTCACTGTTAGGACATAAATTTGCTTTACTTCAATTCATGTTCAATTCATGTTCGCAGCAAGTGCAAAGGAAAGCTCTGGACGTCCTCAACCATGTTGGGCTGTCCAACTCCGTTCTGAAGCTTATCGAGAGGAGGCACCGAGTAGACAAGTGGGTTGCATACACTGGTATGGCGATTACAGTCATTGTGGTGTATATGTTCTGGAGCTGGACCCACTGATCTCTGGCGATTGAGCTGCTGATGATATTCCAGAATTTCATCTACTGTGTGAAGAGGTGTATAAACAAAGGTGTAAACGTTATTTTGCTTCTGATATACCAGTATAGTCTCCAACTGTCGGTGAATGTGTACATGCCCTTTTTTATTTTTTATTTTTTGACTCGGTTATATTTTGAAACACTCGATAATGGTACTTTTACGAAACTATTCTTGACATTGGAAGAAAGCAATGCTGCTAGTTATACCGGTGTAATCCAGTTGGCAAATGCGTGCATGCCAATGTTTTTTTTTACTGGGTTATTGGTATAATTAGTCACTTGTATGTTGAGCAGTGGTCTTACATTGGAAGAAAAAATTCTGCTTGTGTGTGTTTTGGTTTTCATTGTTACTCAGCACTCCCAATCTGCTTGCAATGTTGTATTTAGAGCATGTTTGGCAAGTGGTTTGGCTTATGAGCTACTTTGACATGTTTAACAAATAGATTGTTTTGGTTTATAAAGCCACTAAAATATAAGTTAGGGTATTGTAGCTTATTTTTTGGTGGCTTACAATCTATAAGGTTTGACCAAGTAAAAGACAAGCATACCTTTTACTATTTGATAAAATTCCAAGCCACATTTTATCTCTTTCTAACTCATTAAATACTTTTTGGTCATTTTAACAAGAACAATGGCTTATAAACCACACATTTGCCTAACATTTTACTACTGAAAATAGATTATATAACCTACTTAATTTACCAAACATTTTGACTTAAAATCCACTTGGTTTATAATCAATTTTGGTATTATAAGCGAAACGGATTATAATCAAAAGCTGACAAACATGCTCTTATATAGTGCTTAGTGAGCATGAACTCCAGGTTCTGGATGAACTATACAGTCCTGCAAACTGATAAATTTTAACTGATGGTAATTTTCTCTTGGTGATCGGATGGCAAACTACAAGTTTTAGTTCAATATCTTGATTATGGGTTGCAAAACTCAAGTTTTAAGTTAAGAGTAGTCCTCGTGGATGACGAGGTGCAAAACTTTTCCACTAGCTTTTCTTGATTCGTGATTATTGTGGCAGCATAATCAAACCACTCTATGTGAAAGGGAAAAACCCACGTGGCGTAATTTGATCTATTAAAATTGATAAAGATGCTAACACATTGAAAGAATAGATACTCTCTAACTATCATCTAATTCGACAAAATCTAGATCCCTTCATAAAGACTAGGAAATTGTAGAGTTGGAAACACTAGGAAATTATTTATTTAAAAAGTGAATATTTAATTGAAAAATGACACGTGTTGATGTCAACGGTTAGAATTTTTAGTACATAACTAGTTTCAGGCCCGTGCGATGTACGGATTTTTTTAATATATTTTTTTAATATATAAAAATTAATGTAGCAAAAAAGAATGCAAAATAAAACAGTAATAATATATAAGTAGTCAGAAATGATACAATCTAAGTTGTATGTATAGTTTAAAAAATTAGAAAGTTTAGAAAACTTGAATAAGTTTAAAATAATATAAAGTTCGAAAAAAACAATAACAGCCCAAAACAACAGTAGAAAAAAAATGACAACCTAAGATAGGATGAGCTATTTTCATGGAAGAATTGAAATCGATCAAATTAGCATCAACTATGTCAAATTAGAGTGCATCAACTATGTCCAATTTCAGCCAAAAGCAACATGTTAGCTTGCATTTACTATCATATTTCAGCCATTTAATTTTACAAACATTTAATGTAAACCTTGCATTTCTTCACCCAACAGATTTAAGTCTTGTGCATCAAATCGTTTAAGCCAACACCAACGTTCAAAACTCTGAATCTTTATCTTGCAAACAACAATAAAAACAAAAACTCAAATCATCATTTATTGATATTCATAATTAAATGAAAAAATAACTAAAAATGTACCTCATAAAATGATAAAGAAAGAAAATACAAAAGCATCCAATAACTTATTAGCCCATTACAATCAATTGCTCTCTCAATTTTTACACAACTCCATTCGTTTGACTTCAAGTGAATAAGCTAAAATATGCTTTTATATGTGAGCAAAATAAGGAATATAACATCTCTAGTGAAGATGCAAATATGAAAGATGAAGCAGACTTTGAATGTCTACCTACACTAATGGAAGTACCAGGTCTTGCTAGTATAAATTACAAGAAAACTTCTTAGGGATCATGTGGTGTCGTGACCAAGCTCTATTAGACTCACAAAATTTTTTTAATGAAGCAATATTTATATTATTTATGACAACATCATTAAAATGAGAAAACTAAAAGCCTTTTTTTAACAGCAATTGAACAATACTATAGCTGAAACAAAATGAAATAGGTACCTTTCAGTTAGATTGATACGTCAAACCATACTCAGAATCAAGTCCAATAATCCGTCTCCTTTCCCAAGTCCGGTACTTGATACTTCTCAAGGTGCTTCCACTAAATGTTACATAATTATCACCGTGTTCCTACGAAGTAGTTATCAATTTCATCATATCTATACTTTGTAACATCCCCATACAACAGAGAACTTTCAATAAGATACATGAATTAAAAAATAAAATTTGAGTTTGTCAAACATGCACACAAGCATGCACCACTACATACACATATAACACGCTCAGATAGAGCTAACAAATTTATCCAAAACTTAAAATCACATTAGAATAATTTCATGCTATGAATTAGCCAAATAATAACTTAAAATGATTATTATGGCAGCATAATCAAACCACTCTATGTGAAAGTGAAAAACCCACGTGACGTAATTTGATCTATTAAAATTGATAAAGATGCTAACACATTTCAATAGATACTCTCTAACTATCATCTAATTCGACAAAATCTAGATCCCTTCATAAAGACTAGGAAAATGTAGAGTTGGAAACTCTAGGAAATTATTTATTTAAAAAGTGATTATTTAATTGAAAAATGACACGTGTTGATGTCAGCGGTTAGAATTTAGAGTACATAATATAGATTGTTAGTACATGATACAGATATAACTATTTCACATGTGCTTTTGTACAGCATTTTTTTCTATCAAAATTATTTAAGGGGTTGTTTGGCTGCTTTTCTTTATTTTTCAAATTCATCTTTCCTTCCTTTTTTGGTGTTCACCTCACTTTCTTGGAAAAATATTTATTGTGTTTGTTTTGTTAAAAAACATGAATCATGGTTACTCTCTGCCACTTTTATTAGTTTGGCTCAATTTGAAAAGACAAGAAAATAGTTGAAGTGTGAATTAATTCTCTTATTTTCTAGTGTTTGGTTCAAACTAAAAAAAAAAAAAAAAATCATGGTTGTGGTCACCATGACGTGAAAAAAAAAAAAAAAAAAAATCATGGTTGTGGTCACCATGACGTGCTTACCACCCATATATGACGAAATCATTGCCAAACATAAATCGAAGGGTGAACACACCCACCATTTGAGCGACTACATTTAAAATATGAACATTTGAGGGAGGAATTTCAAAGCGACTAAAGATTTGAGGGACTAGCTTTAAATTTAAGGTAGTATTTTACAAAGTGTTTAAAGATTGGAGGGACTAATTTCAAGTAATTCTGGACATTTAAGGTAGACCAGAGCGAGGGGATGCTCAGCGACGATGGGGACAAGAGAGGGTATGCACTGCTCTGCGTGGCGCATCCGTGGTCAGATTGTACAGTGAGGATTATTCCCGAGGAGTCGGTGTCTCTTTAGTTGGCTACTGCTAATGATTGAGGAAGTAGTGATCTTTCTTTAATTTGTTGGTTTTAATTGTTGAGGAGTGTTAGTGTTGGGATTTGATTAGTCTAATGCTTTGTGTTGGTATAGAAAGTAAGTAATTTAAGAGTTATTCATGTTGCTTGCTAATTGATGGCTAGCACAAAAGTTTACTCTTGAAGTAATGTGTTCGGCAATGCTCTTAATCCTCCTCCATCAGCATGGTCACAAAGTAAATCAACCCATGAAAACAACCAAGACGTTGCTTATTCTCGGTCAATAAATATCAATTCAAGTGATGAAATCAACATACATCTAAAACTCTGCAATTTGCAACCATGGTTCAATGTTCTTGCAGTATCTAACAAGCACCTGCTGCTTAATAACATGATCTGCGAAAGCAAAATGAAAGCAAATTATGCTCATTGAAACTTTCGCCTTTGTTCATATATGTTCAGCATCCCACAGAAAAAAGTATTGGAATTCCAGCAAAATGAAAGCAAATTATGCTCATTGAAACTTTCGCCTTTGTCCATTGAAACTTATTAGATCCCTCGAAACCTCTTTCATATCCTAAAGATCCAGCCGGCCAAGGTCGGGTAATCATTTGAGGGTAATTCCTGTAGGTGGAGTTTAGGAAGCGTGTGCTGCAATTGAAGTTGGTTTGTAGAGAGTTTTTGACCAAACGATGTGCTGCTGCTCCAGAAACCTGTGGCCTGTCATCAACAATAGGACTTAAAAATGTCATCAACTTGAATAAATTTTGAATTTGAAATTCTAGCAAATTATTCTATTTAGTTTTGCAAAACAATCTGAAACGGTTCTATATATGGAGAAACATTGCAAGTAATGCAATTCCAATACCTTTCTCTAGATTGATGGCTGACAGTTATCTTCATGCCATAATACAGGGAAGGGCTTGATATCTTGAGGTTTCACAATCTGAAAAAAGGTGATAATTGAGACAGTCATTTAGCTTGAACATGTCATAGAACCAAACAGAAAAGGCAAGGAAGAGAAGCCAAGTAATCTAACTATAACAAGGATGCCGTTCTAACTATAACGAGGATGCCGTTCCATCTTGGCTTAGATTATGCACTTACACCTCGTCTATTGCGTAGATAAAGCAGCAATTCACATAACAGTATGCATAACGTATTAAGTTAGAAATTTTGAGACCCCCAACTGACATCAATTGCACCAAAGACGGGTTTATCTGGTCAAATCTTATCACTTCGCAGGTAAAGCTGATAAAGGGATTAAAAAATCATATCGTATCTAGTACAAATGTGATCAAGCTTAGTAACAAAGTAAGGTAGTATAACAGTAGCTGAGTTTATAAGTCGAGCACATTGTCACAGATAGCTGAGTTTATAAGTCACTGTTCCATTTCCCCCGGATAGTATCCAATATTGTTGTCATTTGAATGGGTAAAAGAAAAATAGACATTTGAAAGAAACGCTATTAAAGGAATAACCTTTACTTCTTTCGGTCTTCCCCTTTTTTCCTTTTTTCCTTTTTTTTTGGCATGTATTTTTTGGGGTAGTGGAGCGTTGGTGTGGAGTGCTTACCATTCAAAAGAAAGGCGGGGGGAAAAAAAGAGAGAAAGCGCCCCAACATATGGAGAACGTAATAATTCACTGGACATTATCATTTATGTTCACTGTGAAGTGCTGCCTCAAGTAATCCCATGCTTCACAACGCAGGAGGAGGAAAGGCATGGATTTGAGGAAAATTGTTACTTTCCCTATAATATTCCACAGTCTCGCCTCATTTTGACATTAACACACTGAAACTTATATTTTCCCAAAAGACACCTTGAAGTTTTTAAGAGGCAGTTATCACTTTTTACATAACAGTTGAGGGCGTGAAATGCCATCTCTATCCTTTTAAGGGTATTCTTTCTAAAACAAGGATAACAATGTTCAAAAACAATCACATGACAATCACATGATAAAATTCCAATGGAAACTCCAACATTCACATAAAGAAGATATAAGTGTAAAGTGGGTAAAACTTTATTGTATCATTTTAGCAGATATATATTCAGGGTACAAAATTAAAAAATGATGTGAAAATAAGCCACAAAACAAAGGAGCCTACCACAATTCAATGTTTACTATTTAATGTTTACCACTGGAAACTTCTTTAACAGTCATATAACTGAAGGTACTATAAGTGCAAAGAAGGTGAAATTTTACGGTATCATTTTAACAGATTAAAACTTCAGGACCAAAATAAAAAAATGGATGAAACTTTGGGGTACTAAAGCAAGAATAATCCACAAAAAAAAAAATGAGTCTAGCACAACTCAATATTTGCAATTTACTAACAAGTCATTACATACAAAAAAAAGGAGGCAAAAAGTACCTTCATTAGCATTACCACAACTTCAGGTGGTTCTGGAATGTGTTGATGATTCCTAGGATTGAGATAGGTGGCATTTCTTGCAAACTATAAAGTAAAATATTTTAGCACAATACAAAAGCTCTGAAAACTGATGAAAACGATAGTCTGTTGGAATAAACCTAGGGTAGCATGGGAGCCAGTAAATAGATGCTTACAGAACTCGATTATTTTCAACAGTGTTCCACCTTCCAACTGGAAAAGAAACTGATGTATTGTAATTGTTCCTTTCACGTAAACATAGAAACCCATTCATTCCGTCACTGCAAGAATGCAAACATAATAATTAGATGAGGAGTCTGAAGTGGTAAGAATATACTTAGTGCAGTATCATGTTTACCTATATGCTGGATTGATCTGAATACAATCTGATTGTCCTTTCGATGACCAAGAGTACAGATGGTACAGTGAAGCAACTTGTGCCGCTAGAGGATGTCTTTCATAATGATGTCTTACATAAGCATACAAGATATCAAACATTTTCTATTATGATACTTTTCTTCTTCCTGTGTTAGCAAAAGCCACCTCGCATTATTATTGGAAACAGATATTTACTAAATTAAGTACTGATATGGAATAAAACCCAAAGTAGAAAAAGGGTTCAACAAGCCGTACTGTTAGCGTGTCCTCAAGATTCTTTGTTTCAGAGAGCAGATGTCTTTCATCAATGAAAGGAAGTTTTGCAACACCCTGAACGCCATAAGAATATCAGACATAAATTTTTCTTCAAACAACAAATAATAGGCAAAAAACTAAAAAATTACTCCAACATACTTGCTTGCCATGCAAAGCGCGTGCCATTCATGTCAATATTATAATATGAATATGGAAAGATACAATCCATGAAGAACAGAGAATAATGCAAATGGACAGAAGATTCCAGTTCAATCAACTCAACCTTTTTGATAAAATTCTTTTAAAGGTGAATTTGGGTCAGTCATCAATGACTCATATGGCTTAGGCAGTACATTAGATGATCTACACAAAAGCAGGAAAGACTCCTATTTACACAATCAATGGGGGAAGATGAAGACTTCCTAAGAAACTTTGATGAAAGACGATTCTAATATCAACCAATCTTTCAGCTAGTAATGTGCCCATTAGCTGAACAAAAGGTTTAAATGGCCGCGCGGGGAAAAACATAAGCTCTATATCTGCCGGATTTTTGAGATCAGATGCAAAAAGTGCATAATGATAAGGGTAAAACCTGAAACAATACAATTTTGCGAGGCACCAAATGATTATAAAGCATAAACATGCAAAAACTTTTCCTGTCCTATAATGTTTCCTACCATTTCCAATCTAATGGAAAGTAGAAGACAAACAAAACAGGCCATCACATTCTTGTTATTTGGGAAGTGATACAAAAGTAATAATGGCTTAGAATACACCTGTGCTGTTTAATTAGTGATGGTTTCTAGTTGAAGGAGAAAATCACCAATTATTTTAGAGATATCAATAGAACTCACCATCGCCAGGAGCAAACATCTTTGCACTAACATCGCAGGATCCAACACGGACCTTCCACATAGTTCTGAACGTGAAAAGTAATGAACATGTTTAAGCTACTAACCGATTTGTCAATTGTATCTTACAAATGGATTAGTAACTTGCAAAGAGAGGTAAATGTGCGAGATCTAGAACCAGTAACATCAATTATATTTTCATGAACTAATACGGAAAGCAATGATTCAGAAGCAGAACTAACCACGACGTGAAAAAAATCAACCACGAATAAATACTAGCCATAAGTTCGTTGACATGCTTGCATCCATAAAATAAAATATGTAAATAGGCCAACATTTCCATTTGTCAATCATTTCTACCAAATTAATTCTAAAGTAATACCAATCACATAATAAAAGCAGGAGGCGTCAAACTAACTTTCGCGTGCATTGTTATTTTGCAGGTTAGTTTTCTACACACAGATGCTAACTACATTCATTGCCAGAACCATCATGTAACTACATAACAATATTTTTCTGTTACAAGCCATTCTGTTACAAGCCAACCTTAATTGCAGAAGCCAAAGCATGTTTCGTATAAAATCTTTCTAGGATGTTCCACCCAAGCCTAATTTCAGCTCGAGCCGCAGAAACAGATTGAAGCTTACATTTCCAGACAGGACAAGAATGTCAAAGGGTGAGTACAATAAGTAAAATCATAAATAGTTGTATCAATTAGAAACAAATTATAGTCAAGTACATTATAAGGAATTGTGGAGAACATTTAACAGCAAAATAGATTCATACATTTTATTATGGCATACACAGATCAGAGCGGGTTTATTTCGACAACTATCACTGTCCATAACATTCAGATGGAAGACCTTGCACTTTAGCTAACTGTGTCTCTGAACTTAGAAGTAAACAAATGAAACCGTAGAGGACACCCAAACATTCAGATGGCATACGTATGTGTGTGTGTGTGTCTATATATATATATTACACTATTAATGAAATCATAGTAAAATGTGTAAAGCCAGTTCACATCAATAAATCTTCATTTTTTATATACTTGACATGCATTTTATATTCCAAAAGATGCATGTACCTGGAAAAAAAATAATTCAAAACATATCTCTAAGGCACTCCTCAAGCATCAAAATAATTCAAAACAAATCTCTAAGGCACTCCTCAAGCATCACCTATTTGCATTAGTGTTTTAAAAAGCGGCCTAGGCGGACGTGCATCACCTATTTGCATCAGTGTTTTACAAAGCGGCCTAGGTGGATGCTTATTCCCGCCGCCTCCTCTTCTCTCCCTCTCTGGCGAAGAGGGGGAATATTATGCGAGAGAGAGGGAGAGAAGAGGAGGCGGCGGGAATAAGCATCCACCTAGGCCAGCTCCTCTTCTTCACCACTTCCCTCTCCTCGAGCTGATCACTTCCTCCTTGAGTCACCTTGGCTCCTCTTCGCCGCCTCTTCCTCTTCATCGCTAGCCATTCTCTTCTCTTTTCAAGGTAAATTTTCATCTTTTTTTCACTATTTTATATTTTTCACTGTGATCAACTAATTATGTTGGAAATGTGATGTTTCTTAGTATTTGGTTACTATTTTAGCTATTTAATATTTATGCATGGTTGATTATGGATCTAAGATTATTATTTATGTGTTTTTTTTAATTTTATATGAAATTAATACATATTTTTGTGAATTATTATAATTAAATAAATTTAAAAATAGGCAAACTCCTAGGCGCCGCCTAGGCGTTAGGCCCCAGCTCGAATGCCTAGTCCGCCTAGCGTCTTCTATAACATTGATTTGCATTTGTAAGCTTTAAAGCAATACAATTATTTAGGTTACCAACATGCAAATGGTCATAAGGTCATGAAGGTTAACGAAATTTTAAAAAGAATTAACGTAGAAAATACATAAAATTTGGAAAAGAATATTCGCAAAAATGAATTATGTAACATGGCATTTAGAAGTTTTTGCTTCATATGATTTGATATTGTAGCTTCTATGATTAAAGGAATCCATAATATAAGATAAATGTAGACATGCGAACAAGATATAATATGGCTAGTTGAAAACTAAACTAGATAATTAACCGAAGAATAAAGGTTAGGAAGAAGCAGAACTGTGAAAAGGCAAAAACCAGCTTGCTAGTAAGACTCAAGACTAAACCAGCAGAAAAACAAAATTATCATAAGCTTACAATTGGTGCACGCCAAAGTCTATTGCCCAAGAAACGAAAGACAATAATGTCAGCTGTAGCTGCTTCAATGTCTTTGATGGCTGAAACAGCAAATATCCAAAAGGGTCAGCAAAGTTTGACGTGATACAAATATCCAATATAAAAAAATAATTAGATAACTTTCAACATGTCACCATAGTGGGAATGAATGGAATACTATCAGGCATCTCATTTTCCTATCCGTTCTCATCAATAAAATCTGCACTTGTTATACGTTGTTGTACTTGCAATCTCCTCACCTGAAATCAGAAAAGAGGAAGACAAATGAAAAAAAATGTGTTTCAATATACATTTGAATGTGAACTACTATAGGTAGGCATCAACAGTAACTAGATGACTTCATTTTTTTCCTTTCCTTCAATTTCATAAATCCCAAGAGGAGTTTAGCAAAATTTCTTTTGAAGTAATAGATTATTTTCTAACGCAAGTAGAAAAATTCTTTTCGAATTCATGAAACTGAGACAAGGAAATGAAACAATACAAGTATTGTAATAATATTTACCTCTTCCATGAGGAGGTATATTGTGTTCCGTTTCTTATAGTCTTGAATTTCTTGCAGCTGCATTTGCATAAAATTGTAGACTGTATCTGGGCAAAATATCTTTTGAAGTAATAGATTATTTTCTAATGCAAGTAGCAAAATTCTTTTCGTTCATGAAAGACAAGGAAATGAAACAATGTAAGTACTGCAGATAATATTTACCTCTTCCATAATGAGGAGGTATATTTTGTTCCGTCAACTTCTTATATTGTCTTGAATCTCTTGCAGCTACATTTACATAAAATTGTGGACTGTCTCTGGGCCTTCTATGATACAAAACTACAAGAAGAACATCATATGAGAATAGTCAGCTCCCATGTTAGTAACAATGAAAAACCATTCTCCAGCTCCTGATCACACAAATCTGAAAGTGAACAAGCTCGCAAAAACTTTTTCTAGCAAAACAAATAGGTTATTTGTGATCATAAAATGCCTCTGAAGTTGAAGGGAGAATTTATAGAACAATATAAGGCCGAAAATCCACGATTATACAAAAGATGTGAAGCAGTAATGAGAATGAAATGATGGACGAGTGGACATAAAATAAGAGATAGTAAAAGAAAGAAGTGCACTGTACAATTTCCGAGGAATAAATTCATCTAAAGGATACTTCCCTATTCCAGCACTAGTGTTCCCTGTCAGCATCCTACTTGATGCATTCTAAGGTGAAGTCCACTTGATCAGCAAAAGAAGATATGCCATTTGACAAGATGATCTCTTTTTAAGAATGTAGCTTATGAAGCAAGTTGCATGGACATTAGACTGAAAATGAACAAAACAACAGAACTAACAAGAACAGCAATTGCATAGATCCAATAGTGAACAAAAATCATACCATCCTAGAAAGTTACGAAGAAATATTCAAAAGCATAACTATAGCAAATCCATATGGCCCTAACCAAAACTTCAGTAGTTGTGTTATATCTTACATCTAACCATAGTCTTAGTTTTCCTAGAAGGTGATTGCTATATACATAATTTATTTTTTTTAAATTAGCTTAAAATAAATTAAAACATAGACGAAGCGTGTCCAAGAAATCATAGACCAGCTAATTGTCACGTATATCATCGAACACTCAATAATAACCAGAACGAAAAAAAATATGGAAAGGACAACTGCTAATCAAGTACATGTAAATCATGCATGCTATTTTCAAGGAATATTCTGTGAACAGAGAAATTCATATTTATTGAAGATGTTACTGGTATCAGTTTTTTATACTGCATAATAGTCGGCTCTTTACACCTTTCATTCTCATTGGAAAACTAGAAAAACAAAGGAACAGAAATTAGTGTAAACCAAGGACTACCCCTGTGTAATACAAGTAATAGTTTTGATACATTACCAGTGGTGCACTAGGAGCCTCTGATGGTGCCTGAGCCAATATCTCAGCCATGCCTAATCCGCACGAAGCGCTGGAGCCAGTGGATGCCATACTCGCAGGCTGCAGTCTGCAGTCCGTTGAAAGCTGTTAATTGCAGAGTTGATGCCAGGAGAATGCATCTGCACAAATTCATGCTTCTTCAGCTCCAAGTGATGGAAAGTCTCTAAACCTTACTAAAAGCATCACTTAAACTACCAGCAGAAAGAGCAACAATTGAATCACTCTCGATCTTCTGGACATCGACTCAAATTTCCAGCCAGAAACCACGGACTTAGAACCCCGAAATAATTTTCATTTTCGAATATTTTTCTCTTAGAGAAAGAAAAAGTTGTTTTTGACAAATAGACCTCCTGATTAAGGGTAAAAGTGTTAACAAAACACTCAAGGGTACATCTGCAACAATAGAACTTCTAGAGAGTCCATTCACAATTAATCCTAATGCTAATAAGGAGGACATACCAGATATCTTGTCATCTTCTTTTATGTCCGTGTCCACAAGGGCTCTATGCTGGCTGGTATACTTTCTGCTCTCAAGGATGACCGATTTTGGTTAAGCAAAGACTTGATCAAACGGTTATCTGACTTTTTTTTTGGGCCCATTGATCAAACGGTTACCTGATAAATTTATTGGTTTCTGGCAGCAAGCAAGTAACCAGATCAAATTTCATAAACAAAAAGAGCATCTCATATTATTATAATTATGTGTTTGACATGATAACTAGATTATACCTTCTCTGGTCTGAGCACATATGGAACTTGTAATCTTCACCAGATTTGAAAATTCTGAAAGAAATAGCTTTATATTCCTTTAGATTATGTGAAGCCAACATGAGTAAACTGAAAGGGCTAATCTTTCCATGAACCTAAGAACCTATATCATGACGAAGCACTGCTGGGTCTAAAATCCAATTATCATCGAAAACCTCAACCGTCTTCAAGTTTTGCAATTCAAATTCTATAATAACATCTACCTGTTAATTTGTAGCATTATCAATAAAATCATGACGAGATTCATAATATTAACTTAAAAGTTGAAGTTAGCAAATCTTCATAAGCTTTTAGGCCTCTGACCTCAACTAGATCCCCTGTCATGAGCTCAATTTCTTGGAAATATGTTTGTTTTCCTCTAAATGATCAAGCTTTTGAATAGGCCAATGCACAAGCTGTTTCCTGTTGGTATCTAAGTAACAACTCTTGGGACAATCTGCTTCAAACACAACGAAAATTATGAAAATGAGTTAAAAAGTCCCTCATGCAAATTCACATTATAGAGACAGTGGACATCACTATAAATCAAGTATGATAGCAAACTTTACCAAACATGGGCTTTGCTTATTCGCACTTACTCTATTTCTGTAATGCAGAAAACAACATTTTGAATCAATTCTGAAGTTACATACATGTTTATGTACCTGAATACCAGACCACTCTTTTGCCACATTGTCTGCCACGCTATAAGATTCATTCAGTCATCCCCTCAAGATCCTTCTCTGCTTATTCTCATTGGAGAACGTCTTTGATGAATGAAACTGCCCATAATCGTACCTCCGCCACATTCTGTAGTCATCCGCCGTGTCATCAGGCACAAATAAATATTTCTCCTCATCACACCAGCATATAATGAAACTGACTAAGTCTCATCATATGGTGGCAGACACTGTGCAGCACCCTAATATCGAATGGATTGGTAGGGGAGAGTGCATATTCAACCACAGTCCAATGGATAAGGTATGATGAGAGAAGGAGATTAAAGTAACACAGATAGGCCAAAGAAGGGAGCATATTGAATTAGGTAGCCACAAACATGGACAACCTGCTAACAAGAGAAATGGTAGGTAGTTCCATACTGAGAAACTAACAACAAAAGTTGTATCTGCCGACTCTGGCTTTAGTGAGCTCTGACTAGAAGCTTCAATGCAATTCCTCCTATCAGCCAAAGACAAAAGAAAGGACATAATATCCAACCAAAACCAGGCATCAGTGAGCAGCCATTTGAAGAAGAGACAAAGGTCAACTAGATGGTAAAGAGTTATTAAAAAGCAGCAAAGACTGGATAAATTTTTGTTAACATGTGCTCAGACAATGAGTATGACATGCATCACAGTAAATAAAATAGTTAAATAAAGTTTTCACTAGTAGTGGGAGACTTCTTCACATGGAATCTCCAATTGGATACTCTAGCTGAAAATTAGCAACAACATCTTAATGTTAGTTAGAGATTAGAGTTGAATATCAGGGAGGAAAAAGACTTTATTATAAATACGCACATACCTGTGTCTTCATGTGTCTAGCCGAATATCAGGAAAAAAGACTGTTTTATATATAAATATAAACACACCTGTGTCTTTATGTGAGTGCGCGCGCTTGAGTGCATGTGTTCATGTGCATGTGTCTGTGCAGTTATGTGTGCCTCTTTGATTGAGACTAGGCAGATTTGCAAAGTGAGCCTGAGAATTTTGCTTGGCCCATTCGCATCCTTACCCGCTTCCTTTGTCAAAATTCTATCTATGTACTCTTAGGCAAGAGAAAACCTGGATCGTGGAATTTTTAACTTGCCCATGTTATCACCTTTCTTTGGCTTGCCTGTGTTGTCATCATCCTATCTTTCTGATCCTTGCACATAAAAATTCCATGTTTTGATAGTTGTAACATAATGAACTTTGGAACCAATGAGGACCTTTTGTTTTCTTGTCACCATCTGCTTGGATATCGCATCCCAGTTTTTAATCATTATATTGTGTAACTCCTTTATCTTAAACCTTGACTGAAACGATTCTATGATATTATTAAAAGACCAACTTGAATCAAATTGATTCCGCCAACATTACAACTATAGTAATAAGGATCTTGGCTATGGCCTTCATATCATTCTCACTGAACTGAAGAGGATAGAGGGTACATTTCAGTTTCATGCTACCCACCTCCAACCCATATAAAGCCTATGGGATATTTTTTTTAAAATCAATATAAGATCCAAAGAATCTAAGAAATGTAGAATTTGAAATGTAATGAGCATTCTCCCCATTTTGTAGCCCAACCCAGATGGGTTTTCCTTTCTCCTTTCTCAGAGTTGAATAGCGATGTCATTTTTCTGAAATCTAAAGAAAGTTTCCATCTTTTTATCCATAAGGAACATCAAATCGATGTAAGCCCCCATTCATCGGTTAAAATTGAAACCCTGAGGTTCTTATTGCTCTCAGTGGGATTCAGATGGTGCTTACTAAGATTTTCGCTCATAGATGAGATTAAATGACCAAAATCGTCAGTTTGGAGACTATCTGTAGACGCCATTCAATACGGAGAGAATGCACAGTAGAAACGGAAGAGATGGAGATTGCCATCGATAAGCGCAGCAGAAACGATAGAGATCGAGAAAAGAATTCTCTCTTAATTGCAACCGATAAGCGCAGCAGAAACGGTAGAGATTGAGAAGAGAATTTTCTCTCAATCGCAATCGATAAGCGCAGCAAAAACAACAGAGATTGAGAAGAGAATTCTCTCTCAATCGCAATCAATCTAGTTAAAGTTAAAATCTCTGTATCTTGATTTAGGAATGATTACGAATCAAGAACTTAACAGTCATATTTTGAACAATGACAGTCATATTTTAAGTAATATAAATAATCGACATAAACCCTTAATATTGTAAATGACTGGAAAGCCCTTCAACTAGTAAATATGTTCAAGGCAAATTAATGCTCGTACTTCATGCACCGGAGAAAGGTGGTGCCCATTACAAATTTTTTTGCAAAAGATTTTGGTCTTAATTGAACTGTTATGTACACACTTAGATATTTCTTTTGATTTTCTAAATTTAAATTGAACCATGAATCCAAACCAATTTTATAAAATAAATTTAAAAAATAAATTAAAAAATTAAAAGCCCAAACCCACATTGCAACATTGGGATCACTTATTGCAACACTAGGACCACAGTTTACAACTTGAAATATCACATGATATAATGAAAAAGTACTGATACATCGCCAAAAAAATTACCAAAGCATTAAAATATATTAAGATATGTCTAGCAACTGCTTATTGTTGTATATCATTATGTGACTAATTTTTAGTTATTAATTAAATAATCACTATTATTTTATAATAATAAAATAATATTTAAAATATATTTTTGGGAAAATTATGTCAAAACGCCAAAAGCAACATCTTCATGTACTGCAGCCCCTTCACTTTTCTCCCATGTGATTCAGCCCCAAAAAGTATAACAGCTTGTGCTGCAGCCCTCTTTAGCAATTATTATAAAATCCTAAAATGACCTTATCTCCTCTATTCTAATTCATGTTAGGTCTAATTAGTGTTCATGTTAGTTTTATTTCGTGTTCGTGTTAGTTCTAACTCCGGTTCATGTTAGTTCTAAATTATGTTAGGTCTAATGGGTGTTCATGTTAGTTTTATTTTGTGTTCATGTTCGTGTTAGTTCTAACTCTGATTCGTGTTATTCTAATTCATGTTAGGTCTAATTAGTGTTCATGTTAGTTTTATTTCGTATTTGTGTTAGTTCTAACTCATGATAGGTCTAATTAGTGTTCATGTTAGTTCTATTTCGTGTTCGTGTTAGTTCTAATTCAACTTGTTTTTAAGTCTAATTTCATGTTAAGTCCAATTTAATTTATATTAAGTCTAATTTAATTCATTTTAAATTTAATTTAAATAATGTTATGTCTAATTTAACTTATTTTAAGTCTAATTTAATTGAACTTAACATAAAATTAGACTTAAAAAAGTTGAATTAGACCTAACATGATTTAAATTGGACTTAAAAGGAATTTAACATGCTTAAAATTAGACTTAAAATTTTGTATTAGGTCAAATAAAAGTTCGTATTAAGTCTAATTTCATGTTAGGTCTAATAAAATTTTGTGTTAGGTCTAATAAAAATTTGTATTAAGTCTAATTTCATGTTAGGTCTAATAAAACTTCGTGTTAGGTCTAATTGGAGTTCATGTTAGTTCTATTTCCTGTTAGTTCCAATTTATGTTAGGTCTAATTGGTGTTCATGTTAGTTTATTTTGTGTTCGCGTTAGTTCTAACTTCAGTCGTATTAGTTCTAATACATGTGGCAAATAATGAAAGAATAGAATAGATAAGGGTATTTTAGAATTTTGTACTTTTTATCCTCTCTCTATGCTTAGTTAGCATGTAATAATTGCTAAAACAGGGTTGCAGCACAAGATGTCATACTTCTTGAGGCTGAAGCACATGGGGGGAAAGTGAAGAAGCTGCAGCACATAAAGATTATTGCTTTTGAAGCCGTGATACAATTTTCCCTATATTTTTATATATTATGTATATTTTTATATATCACATTATTTATTTATTATTAACTACTAATAATGTCACTATTTAATTAATAATTGTATTATTTTTATTAATTACTATTTTTATAATTATTATAAAAAAATATCTAAGTGTGTACATAACAGCTCAAATAAGACCAAAATCTTCATGCACCACCATTCTCTGGTTCATGAAATACGAGCATTAATTTGCCTTGAATATATGTTTACTAGTTGAAGGGTTTTCCAGTTATTTACAATATTATGGGTTTATGTCGATTATTGATATTACTTAAAATATGACCGTCATTGCTCAAAATATGACCATTAAGTTCTTGATTAGTAATCATCCCTAAATCAAGATACAGAGATTTCAACTTCAACTATATTGATTGCGATTGAGAGAGAATTCTCTTCTCGATCTCTTCCGTTTTTGTTGCGCTTATCGATTGCGATTGAGAGAGAATTCTCTTCTCAATCTCTGTCGTTTCTACTACGCTTATCGATTGCGATCTCCATCTCTTTCGTTTCTGCTGCGTATTCTCTCCGCATTGAATGACGTCTACAGATAGATATCCACCCTCCTCCAGATTTTAACTTGAATATTGGAGATAGCCTCCAAGTTGACGATTTTGGTCATTTAATCTCATCTATGTGCAAAAATCTTAGTAAGCACCCTCTGGATCCCACTAAGAGCAATAAGAACCTCAGGATTTCAATTTTGACCGATGAAGAGGGGGCTTACATCGATTTGATACTCCATATGGATAAAAAGATAGAAACCTTGTTTAGATTTCGGCAAAAACGACATCTATCTCATTGGCTATTCATCTCTAAGAAAGGAGAAAGGAAACCCATCTGGTTTGAGCTACAAATTGGGGAGAATGTTCATTACATTTCAAATTCTACATTTCTTTGATTCTCTAGATCTTATAATTATTTAGAAAGAATGTCCCATAGTGTTTTATATAGGTTGGAGGTGGGTAGCATGAAACTGAAACATGCCCTCTATCCTATTCAGTTCAGTGAGCATGATATGAAGGTCATAGCCAAGGGCCTTATTACTATAGTCGTAATGGTGGCAGAATCTATAAGATTCACGTTGGTCTTTGATGATATCATGGAATCGTTTCAGTTAGGTTTTAAGATCAAGGAGTTACACAATATAATGATAAAAAACTGGGATACGATATCTAAGAAGATGGTGGCAAGAAAGCAAAATGTCCTCCTTAGTTCCATGATGGCAGGTAGTTACACATCATGGAACTATCTACTATCACGGAACCAATGAGGACCTTTTGTTTTCTTGCCACCATCTGCTTGGATATCGCATCCCAGTTTTTGATCATTATATTGTGTAACTCCTAGATCTTAAATCCTAACTGAAATGATTTCATGATATCATCAAAGACCAACTTGAATCTAATTGATTCTGCCACCATTACAACTATAGTAATAAGGCTCTTGGCGATGACCTTCAAATCATGCTCACTGGACTGAAGAGGATAGAGGGTACATTTTAGTTTCATGCTACCCACCTCCAACCCATATAAAACACTATGGGACATTCTTTCTAAATCAATATAAGATCCAGAGAATCTAAGAAATGTAGAATTTGAAATGTAATGAACATTCTCCCCATTTTGTAGCTCAAACCAGATAGGTTTTCCTTTCTCCTTTCTCAGAGTTGAATAGCCAATGAGATAGACGTTATTTTTTTAAAATCTAAACAAAGTTTCCATCTTTTTACCTATATGGAGCATCAAATCGATGCAAGCCCCCTCTTCATCGGTCAAAATTAAAACCCTGAGGTTCTTATTGTTCTTAGTGGGATCCAGATGGTGCTTACTAAGATTTCGCGTATAGATGAGATTAAATGACCAAAATCGTCAGCTTTGAGGCTATCTCCAATGTTCAAGTCAAAATCTGGAGGAGGGTGGATATCTATCTACAAGAGATGGAGATCGCAATCGATAAGCGCAACAAAAACGGTAGAGATCGAGAAGAGAATTCTCTCTCAATCGTAATCGATAAGCGCAAGAAAAACGACAGAGATCGAGAAGAGAATTCTCTCTTAATCGTAATCGATAAGCGCAAGAAAAACGACAGAGAATTCTTTCTCAATCGCAATCGATAAACGTAACAAAAACGGTAGAGATCGAAAAGATAATTCTCTCTCAATCGCAATCAATCTAGTTAAAAGTTGAAATCTCTATATCTTGATTTAGGAATAATCGACATAAACTCTTAATACAATGACAGTCATATTTTAAGTAACATAAATAATCGACATAAACTCTTAATATTGTAAATGACTGGAAAGTCCTTCAACTAGTAAACATATATTTAAGGCAAATTAATGCCCGTACTTCATGCATAAGAGAAAGGTGGTGCCCTTTGAAAAATTTTCTGCAAAAGATTTTGGTCTTAACTGAGCTGTTATGTACACACTTAGATTTTTCTTTTGGTTTTATAAATTTAAACTAAACTATAAATCCAAACCAATTTTATAAAATAAATTAAAAAAATAAAAGCCAAACCTACATTGCAACATTGGGATCACTTTAAGAACCATTAATGGAGAATTAAAGGGACTATGAGCATATTTATGTCTTTTGGACAAAATAATCATTATTTTTATTAATAATCATTATAAAAATAATACAATTATTAATTAAATAGTGAGATTATTAGTAATTATTAATAATAAATAATGTGTTATATAAAAATATATTTCAAATATTATTTTATTATTATAAAATAATAGTAATTATTTAATTAATAACTAAAATTAGTCACATAATGATATACAACAATAAGTAGTAGCTAGACATGTCTTAATATCTTTTAATGCTTTGGTAATTTTTTTGGCGATTTATCATTATTTTTTCATTATAACATAAATAATCGACATAAACTCTTAATATTGTAAATGACTGGAAAGTCCTTCAACTAGTAAACATATATTTAAGGCAAATTAATGCCCGTACTTCATGCATAAGAGAAAGGTGGTGCCCTTTGAAAAATTTTCTGCAAAAGATTTTGGTCTTAACTGAGCTGTTATGTACACACTTAGATTTTTCTTTTGGTTTTATAAATTTAAACTAAACTATAAATCCAAACCAATTTTATAAAATAAATTAAAAAAATAAAAGCCAAACCTACATTGCAACATTGGGATCACTTTAAGAACCATTAATGGAGAATTAAAGGGACTATGAGCATATTTATGTCTTTTGGACAAAATAATCATTATTTTTATTAATAATCATTATAAAAATAATACAATTATTAATTAAATAGTGAGATTATTAGTAATTATTAATAATAAATAATGTGTTATATAAAAATATATTTCAAATATTATTTTATTATTATAAAATAATAGTAATTATTTAATTAATAACTAAAATTAGTCACATAATGATATACAACAATAAGTAGTAGCTAGACATGTCTTAATATCTTTTAATGCTTTGGTAATTTTTTTGGCGATTTATCATTATTTTTTCATTATAACATAAATAATCGACATAAACTCTTAATATTGTAAATGACTGGAAAGTCCTTCAACTAGTAAACATATATTTAAGGCAAATTAATGCCCGTACTTCATGCATAAGAGAAAGGTGGTGCCCTTTGAAAAATTTTCTGCAAAAGATTTTGGTCTTAACTGAGCTGTTATGTACACACTTAGATTTTTCTTTTGGTTTTATAAATTTAAACTAAACTATAAATCCAAACCAATTTTATAAAATAAATTAAAAAAATAAAAGCCAAACCTACATTGCAACATTGGGATCACTTTAAGAACCATTAATGGAGAATTAAAGGGACTATGAGCATATTTATGTCTTTTGGACAAAATAATCATTATTTTTATTAATAATCATTATAAAAATAATACAATTATTAATTAAATAGTGAGATTATTAGTAATTATTAATAATAAATAATGTGTTATATAAAAATATATTTCAAATATTATTTTATTATTATAAAATAATAGTAATTATTTAATTAATAACTAAAATTAGTCACATA